GGTTGTTAATGAGTCTTCCTCCAATCCTGATGCCACATTATTCTTCACATAACCCATCTTCTCAGATTATTGGTTCAGCATACAGGTTGAATGAGTACGGTGAAAGAATACAATCCTGGCACACGCCTTTCCTGATTTTAAACCATTCTGCATTCCCATGGTCTGTTTGCAGTACTGCCTCTTAGTCTATGTATGGGCTAGTCATGAGCACAATTACATGCTCTGGAATAATCAATCTCTACAATGTTATCCACAGTTTGTCATGATCCACACAATCAAAAGCCTCTTCACAGTCAATAAAGCACAGGTAAACATCTTTCTGGTATCCTCTGCTTTCAGCCAAGATCCATCTTAATGTCCACAAACAATATCCCTTGTTTCTCGTCCTCATCTAAACCTGGCCTAAACCTCTGGCAATATACTGCTGCAGTCTTTTTGAGTTATCTTTAGCAAAATTTACTTGCATATGATATTGATGACACTTTCCAATGATTTCTACATTCTACTGGGCCAACTCTCTTTGGAATGGGCACAAATATGGATCTCTTCAGGAAGTTGGCCAGAGAGCTGTCTTCCAAATCTCTCCGTGTAAATGAGTGAGTGCATCCAGTGCTGCCATTAGTTTGTTGAAAGAATTCCATTTGTATTCCATCAATTCCTGGACAGACCTTTCTTTGCCAATGCCTTCATTATACCTTGAACTTCTTCCTTCAGTATAACTTACTTTTGATCACATGCTAACTCTTGAATGATGGAACATCGACCATTTCTTTCTGGTACAGTGACTCTGTGTATTACTTCCATCTTCTTTTGATGCTTTCTGCATCATTCAATACTTTGCCCAGAGAATTCTTCAATATTGCAAGTCAATGCTTGAGTTTTTTCTTCATCTCTTTCAGCTTGATAAATGCTGAGCGTGTTCTTCCCTTTTGGTTTTCTGACTCCAGGTCTTCACACATTTCATTACCTGACTTTGTCTTCTTGAGCTGTCCTTTTGGAATTTTTTGTTTAGCTCCTGTCTTGTTCTCTTAATGACCTTTTGCTTTCTTCTGTATTATGTTCTTGATGTTATCCCACAACTCTTCTGCTCTTTAGTCTTTAGCGTCTAATTCATCAAATCTGTTCTTAAGATGATCTTTAAATTCAGATGGGATATGTTCAAGGCCACAGTTTAGTTCTCGTGAACTTGTTTTAATTTTCTTCAGCTTCAGCATGACTTGCATATAACCAGTTGGTGGTCTGGTTCCAGTCTGCCCCTCATGTTGTTTTAGCTGATGAAATGGAGCTTTCTGACTGTCTCTTTCCACAGCTGTAGTCAACTGGATTTCTGTGTATTCCATCTGGTGAGGTCCATGTATATAGTCGTGTTTTATGTGGCTTAAGAAATATGTATTTGCCACGAGCAGGCATGTGGTCTGGCTGGTAACCACGCTGGTCAACAATAAGGGAAGATGGGGGAAAAACAGCAATGAGGTTGTGAGCTAAGTCCGACCACATTCAATAGACTTCTGTGAACCTGGGAGGAGACCTGGTTGGCCAGCTGTATGGCAAGATCCAGGGACTCCTGGGCCTAGAGTCAGTGACATGGCCACAGAGGACTAGAGTAGAGAGTGAAGCATCCAGCTGATATGAACTGAGGGGACATGCACAAGAACAGCCATACTTGCAGACTACCCACTTGACATAGCTTCAATGGCTGGATGATCAGAACTTGACTGAAAGAAGAAAGAAGAGGGAAAAAAAGAGTAACC